GATCTGTTCGAAGGTGCAATCACCAAGGTTGGTGGGGGAGAGTATCCTTCTGGCCAGGGACACCACAGCGGTGCCGCAGGAGGCCAGGAGGAATCCCCGCTTCTTGCCTTCGTCGGTGATGTCGAAGAATTCTAGCGCGGACTCGGCGCCCTGGACCCAGGAGGCCCAGTCTTGCGGGCGGGCTGTGTCGAAGGGTGGAAGCAGCCCTAGCCCGGGAGCGGTAGCCATTGTGCGCGTCGGAGGGGGTGCGGGAGGAGCGGTCGAGTTGTTCGATGGTTCGCTCATCGGATCGGCTGCTTCACGTCCTCCTGGTTCCTCGCGACGGCCCGGCTCAGATGCGGCTAGATCCCATCCTCGTCGCCACTCTTGTGTAGTGGGAAGCCGCATGGATCGACGACAGACAACGACGTGGTGCATAGCACGCTTTATTTGGCACACAACAGACATGCAGACAAACGGCCAGCAGGCCAACTATATACACACCTGGGGACCACCCCTTGGTCACCATTGGTGGGTTTGAATCTCCCGCCATGGCTCCCATTGGTTCCCCAGTGGAGGGACTAGGATCCTAGTCCCCATTGTCTTCCCAGACTGAAGCTCGGGTATATGCGCTGACCCCCGGTGGCGGTCAGTGGACACAACACACCCCTATCCCCACTCTTCCATATGAAGCCTGCTGGGTGACCCTGGGCCAGTGACAGTTCTCTCAGAACTCTCTCAGCCCCATATTACCTCACAAGGTGCCTGTTGTTGGGAGTGGAAGGGAAGGAGATTGTAAGCTACTTTGAGACTCCTCCAGGTAGGGAAAAGCAAGGTATAAACCCTGCTCTTCTTCTTCCTCCTCCTCCTCCTCCTCCTCCTCACTATGAGATACTACTAGAGAGTTTGTCAAATGGATTAATATTGTATTTCAACGCTACCCACTTTGATAAAGTTATACACGAAATGAGATATATTATGCATGGTTCGTTGGTGTTGATGGCATTTGAATTGCTTCCAGTAAACTGAATATTGGAAAAAGAAATTTCTAGTCTTTGGAGACTTTTTTTGGCATAATACATCACGGCTGTTTGCTTCTTCTCAACACCCACCAGGAGGTTGGCAACCCTACTCCACTTTCATGTTGTATGGGGGGAAGAGTTTTGAGGAGAGTCTAACTGCGGTCAGGGAGTGTGCATCTCACTTCATGCATCCCCCAACCCCAATTTCATTCCCATCATTCCAGGATAGCGGCTTGTGTCCTAGTAACTGCAGTCAGAAAGTGGGGCAGATACAGCATTAACCTCTGTCCAGCACAGGTTTGCCAGGTACTTCCCAGCAAACCCCAGTGTTCCCTGCCAGCACCAAAAAAACTGATCTGAGGAAAATGGTGACAAAATGGGGAGGACACTGGCATTGTGCTGGTGTATTTTATATTTATTTATTTATTTATATCTTCGATTTGTATACCGCCCTTTACCCGAAGGTCTCTGGGTGGTTTACAGGTATATGGCCTGAGCGCCTAATTAGTTCCTATCCTAGGGCCACAATTCAACTGGTGGAGGGGCTACCTATCGACACCCGAGTGGCGCAGTCCTGTTGTATTCCACGGGCGGGCTTCCGTTGTTTCTTCTTGGCGCCTTAGGACGGGTCGACGACATCTCCCAGCAGCCTCCTGGTGGACTCCTCCGGCACGCGGCGGCTCCCGATTGCAGTTCCGGCCTTTGTATGACATCACTTCTTTTGAAACCCACAAGGGATGTCATGCTCTAAAGGGAGATGCTCCAGGATTTGTCAAAATACTCTCTGGTTTAACCAGAGAGTTTTTGTGAATCCTAGTGCCCCCCAATATTATGACTTCACTTCCAGTGAAAATTGGAAGTGAGGTCATAACACTGCATGCCAGCATGTCTCCACCTCCCAAATGTTCCCAGGAGTTCCAGCCTGCAGTCCTGCAACCCTAGTCCAACAGTTAACTTAAATGCCCTGAAATATTTTGTTGTGGGGGCATGGAACTTGTGTAGGCAAGTAGCTGTGCAGGTTCAGGGGCTAAAGAGAAGTAGAGGAACAGGGGGTGGAATCTCCATCCTGCCACTTTCTTCACAGAGTAGGGAGGTGATTTTGCCCTTTTTCTCCCTCCTCACTGCAGCTCCTATGTTATGCTGTCATGTTGGATATGACATATCATTTCCATCTTTTGCCATGAAATTTGAAGGTTTCTAAAGGATTCCTATGAATATTTTTTTCACTATCAGATAGAGCAGAAGTCAAGTGAGGTCTGCAATGGTACAGCAACACACCAATGTGCTGCTGGTCACTCTCAGATTCTCTGGCTGTTGCTAGGGATATTTCTGCAAATTTTATGTCAGCTGTGTTTCAGTTCCACCAACACATCTGCCTTTACAGTTGTCTGGTGCTTGGGATGAAATTATGGTTGTTTTATTTTCTCTCAGACATCACAATGAAATGTGGCATTGTCGCATAAAAAGTGCATGACTGAAGCAGCAAAACTGCCAAAGAGAATAGCCAGGAGGAAACCATTTGCAACTAATTTGCACCCAAATGAAAAGAAACAAAAAAACAGCTTTGGTGTGCATCCCTGACTGCTCCTCTCTCCACCCACTTGGGTGCCGCTCTTCTCTTTACGTCCTTTTTCTGTTTGCTCCCCTTTAGAGCTACACGAAGAGTGCTGCCTTCATTGTGACTTTGCATCCACTGCAGAACACCATCACCGACTTCTGGAGGCTGGTCTATGACTACGGCTGCACCTCCATCATCATGCTAAACCAACTCAACCAGTCCAACTCTGCCTGGGTGAGTGACAGACATCCACCCTGCTGGTCATGGTTTTTCCCTGCAAAAATATTTGGGGATTAAAGGGTGGGGGTACTGCACTTTCTCCAAGTTGTTACCTACTGTCTTTGTTAGAGTGGGCTGCAAGTTCTGACAGGCTCTTGGGCCCAGGTTATATATTGGTGATGGGAAGTGCCAAGAAGTCGCAGCCAACTGATGGTGACTCTGCGGGGTTTTCAGGGCACGAGGCATTCAGACTACGGGTCTCCATTGCCTGCCTCTGCATAGTAACCCTGGACTTCCTTGGTGGACTCCTATCCAAATATTAACCAGGGCTAAGCCTGCTTAACGTCCCAGGGAGCCAGAGAGGAAGGAACTAAATCAGAAGGGGCTAATATATACCCTGCCCAGACCTGGATAACCTGAGCAGGGTGTCCATTAGCCCCGTCCATTTCCGTTCCTTTCTTGCTGTTCCCCCGCAACAGAGGCCACATTCCTATGCAATTGTTTTTCTGTTCTACCACCACTGACAGTTGTGACCATCTTCTTCCCTAATCACAGTTCCCTTCTTCCTCTCTATCAAACTTTTATCCTGCCCTTTCTCCAAGGAGCTCAAGATGGCACACGTGGTTCTCCCCTCTTCCATTGTATCATTACAGCTACTCAGTGAAGAAAGGGGGGGGGGAGATACAATTCAGATACCTGTCTTTTTAGTTTTCTTGCCAGACCCAAAGCAGTCAGGCAGCAGTTTTGTTCAGAAAAATGGGGAGGGGGAAAGAAATATGCCCTCCTTTCAAGTGAGGTGGCCCCAGCCCATATCCCCCACCAGCTGCTTTCTTTTTTGTGTGTGTTTAAAAGCTTTATTTCCTCTCCTAAAAAGGAGAGATATTTCGCTTAGTTAGAAAAGGGGAGGGTATATAGTGGGATCAAGAGAAAGGTGAGTGATGTTTTAACTGGTAAAGTTAAGCTGTTAGTAATATTAAAATTTTCTTCTTTGGCTTCTTCTGTATGTTGTCAAACTTCTTTTTTCAAACCGGTTGTCTGTGTTAGTATATTAGTAGTGTCCCAATGGTACTCTGCTAGCAAAGTCTTTTCCAACGATTTTTAAAACAATCATCTACGGGCTGACTTCTTTTAATCTCCGAATTCAGGCAGGAACTTCCTCTATTTAGTCCTCTCCGGTTTCTCGGCTCCTCCTCTGGGTCGCTTCCGCTGTTTGTTTGCAAACTGCAAATGCCATAAGCCTTGCTCTCTCGTGCCTCTTCAAAAGGTCTCTGGCTTTGAGAATGGTTTTCTCCTTTTTCCATCTCTCGCTTATATGTTTAAACGCTGCCATTCTCTTAGCTGGACCTTCTCTCCACAACTGTTGACTTATAAAAGCGCTTTTCAGGGCACCTTCTCGCTTGTCACAGCAATTCTTTTCTCACAGTCCCAGTCAAGGTCACAGTCACACGCAATCTGTTTATTTAACAGCCGGCACAACAAAAGATGAAATGCCTACACCGGAAGCTCCTCCTTTCTTGTTCGCTAATTTCACAGTTCAGCTCCGACATCTTGCCTTTTTTGTTTACTTTTATTTAAGTTCAAATAGCGCTTTTTAAAGACAAAAATCTTCTAGCCTCTTCTCACCACGCACCAAAAGGGACCGCTTCTCTTTTCAGATTCTATTCCCCCCCCCTTTTTCTTCGCTCAAAATCTCTGTTTGCGGGAGAGGGGGGTTCCCCTCCTCCTCCCTTAAATCTTTTCGCTGGGGGGGGGAGCGCACTTAAGTCTTTTTCTCGATGTCTGACAACTCACAGTTTCAGCCGCTTTTTTTCTTTTTCGCCGTTTGTTCGCTTCATCACTCAGTGACCACAGGCGGCTCCGCTAAACCCCATACGGGGTCACTTACGCGGCAAGGTCCATTGGGGCATGGCGGGGAGGCTCAGTTTCCGACCTTTCGGCCGAGAAAGAGACTCCCGCCTACGCGCCCCGGGTCGGAGCCCCTCTTTCTGGGGCTTGTCTGGGTCTCCGCTTGCGCGGATTCCCCCCTCGACCGCGGGCAGGCGAGACGCCCTCGGGAGCGACCCGAGGATGCATCCGTCATTCGCGGGAGCCAGACCGGAAGTCCCCCACCAGCTGCTTTCTGAAGCTAAGTTGCAGGTATGTGGGGAGGACCAGTTATAGGTACCACATGTCCCAGGTAATTTGTTCTTTATATCAAAAGCCATGGTGAGAATCGCAAGAAGGCGTAATAGGGTCACTTTGCTCTGCTCTTGTTGTTTGTGTGTGTGATGTGCCAAGTTGCTTCTGACTTATGGCAACCCTAAGAATTAGTGACCTCTGGAATGTTCTATCATTAACGGCCTTGCTAAGGTCTTGCAAACTGGAGGTTGTGCCTTCTTGTTGAGTCAACCCATCTCACAGTGGATCTCCCTCTTTTCCTACTGCCTTCAGCTTTTTTCCAGCATTATTATATTTTCTAGTGAGTTGTCTTCTCATGAAGTGACCAAAGTATGATAGCCTACGTTTAGTTATTTTAGCTTCTAGGGAGAGTTCAGGCTTGATTTGATCTAGAACCCACTGATTTTGTCTCTTTGGTGGTCCATGGTGTCTGTAAAGTTCTCCTTCAACTCCACATTTCAAATTAATCAATTGTCTTCCTCTCAGCTTTCTTCGTCTTCCCATTTCCACATCCATACATTGCAGTAGGGAAAATCATAGTTTGAATTATCTTGATCTTGGTATTCAGAGACCCTTACTTAACACAAGGATCTTTTCTGGTTCCTTCTAGTTCCTTCCTATTGTTTGGTGGTGGAATGTGCCATCAGGGGTGCGATCAGATAACAGGCCAAGCAAGAAGTGGCTGAGCGTCTATTTCAACCGAATCTATTTGTGCTAAAGAATTTTGTCTAGACATCCCACCCATAACCTGCTGCACCGCATGCTCACTTCATGGTTGAGTGATCACACTTGCTATGTGGTAACCGTGGAGCAGGCGATTGGGTGACATTTTAAAATATTTTTTGTGACTGCGCATAAGTGATCCATCAAAGCACACCTCCGTTTTGACAGCTTCCTCCACCAGGAGCTGTAATCTCATTGGTTCCTATTAAACTTTACTTTTCTGCCATGTGCAGCCATGCCTCTGGTGATGTCCTCATAGAGATCTATGTTTCCATGCAATTGCCTTAATGCCAACAAATCCAAAGTCTCCTCTCTCTGCCACGACACACCTTGAACACCAGCCATTTTGAAGTTCAGAGGCTTTCCCGCCCAAGGGATACTGTGATGTGAGTATAGTTCTGGTGGTGGAATCATGGCCACCGAGAAGAGAGCCTTAATAGGGACTATTTCCACTGCAGTCCTACTCCAAGAAACAGGAGAGAGGGATTTGAGGGGGGGATTTGTCACCCAAACACAACTTCCCCGGGGGTGTCCTGTTCCCAACTAAATAGTTCAGTGGTGAAGCATGTATACAGTGCATTGCAAACCTGGTACGAAGATCCACTTATGCACACATAACTAACTGAATTTTTGAAATGGTGCGAAGATGAAAGTGTGTGATGAGGCTTCCCAAACGGCTTGCGTTCACAAGAGAGAGTTCAGACATAAGGAAATGCATGGTGAAACCAGTTGAGTCCATAAAGCTCGGACTTTCTCTGGTGTTGGGAAAGTCAGGGGTGAGAATGGAGGGCCAACGACTGCTGAATGGGATGGGGACAAGGCTGTCTGAATGAGCATTTTAAATTGGAAGGAAGAGGCGATGACATTGGATCAAACAGCTCATCTGCTCACAGCTAGCCAACTTGCGGTGACCCCATAGGATTTTCAAGACAAGAGATGTTTAGATGGGGGTTTGCCATTGCCTGTTTCTGAATACCAACCCTGGACTTCCTTAGTGGTTTCAGGCCACCCCTGCTTAGCTTCTGAGTTCTGATGAGATCAGGCTAGCCTGGGCCATCCAGGTCAGGGCTACTGTTGTTTACATATGAATAAATGGTGCTTAACACCCATCCCCCAATCAACTGTTCCATCTGGGCATACGTGTAGTGTCCTCTGGGAACTTCTGTAATACTTTTTGCCATCTTGTGGTTATGCTGTTGGGGTTTTAAATTGCATTATTGCTTGACTGTTTTTAAAATGTTTTATTCTGTTAAATCTTTTTGTAAACCACCCTGAACCCACTAGCAGGGGACAGCGAGTTAGAAATATAAATAAATAAATAACTGTGAGAAAATGAGGGTTTGCCAGAAAAGATACACCTCCATCCATCTCCACTACCTGATCGAATAAAATTTATTTTCCTCTTATGTGAGCAACAAGTTCATAGTCTTGCAGTGAATAATCCTTTCCAAAAAACAGTAGTGGCATGTTGTGCCAAAAGGTTTATGAAATATGCTCTCCAAAAGGCTCACTTCCTGATAATACAGAACAGCAGAATTCCCCCCCATTTCTATGCCACAAATGTGTGCTGCTTTATTATCATCATACACATTTTCCATCTAAAACAGCATCCTGTTTTTCAGAAGTTGTTGAGATTTAATGCATGTTATTCAGCATTCTGTATCCTAATGAGATGGACAATATTTTACCAGTCAAAGACAAGTAGACTGGCAGGGTGGTTCCAATACTGAGAACCTGAGCAGAAAACCACCTGTGAAAGGTCAAAATAGCATCAGTACCTATGTCTGGGTAAGTATGTAATCAAGTAATGACTTTATCCTGATTACTGAACCAGGTGACATGGCCATGTCCACTTAAGTCCAAAGGCTTAGGCTAAACATTGTCATTAGGAAGGACATATCTCACAATAGGAATGACTTTTGGGTAAATGCTTAAGTATTCCATGGAATTTATATTTTTGGTATTTGGCCATGTGAACACAGCTCAAAGCTATTGTTTGGATAAGAGATTTCCAATGGATTTAGTGCCCTAACCTGGATAATCCAAGGTAGCCTGATGTCATTAGATCTCAGAAGCTAAGTAGGATCGGCCCAGGTTAATACTTGGATGGGAAACCACTAGGGAACTCCAGGGTC